AACCTTTTGATTATTTTTCCCATATTATGATTTCGCCATTTCCAGTTCACCTTAGACCTTAGTCTAAAATGCCATGATAACTTTTGATTTAAAATTTGAAAAAAGAGTTTTGGGCATAATCTAAAATTCTAAAATGTATCAAGTGGATAAATTAATCAGTTGAAATGTATATACTTTTAATTATATACATCATCTTCAATTGTTACATGTATGAAGTTTTAAGGCTTACTGGAACTAATTCGAATAATTTTTTTAAAAAAAACATATTTTAAGCCATTAATTTATTTACTTAATGAATATTTAAAAATATGCTTAAAAAGGATTAGAAATTTGAATCAAAAGTATTTAATAAAACCATTTCAAATGTTCAATTGAAATAAATCGTAATTGGAGAATCTTATTAGCTCAATTGGTTGACTATTTGAACTCTCACTTTGTTGGTGAAGATTTGATTCTCCATATTGTAATTCCCTACCCATTTCCCCTTTCCTACCCCCCAATAAAGAAAAAACGTAATTCGAATATCATTATTGACATACGTATAACGTTATTAGAATATCCTAAGTTAATTATGATCCCCAAATAATAACAAAATAGGTCTCTTATACATAACGTGATGGAATAGATAAAGAGTTCACACTAAATGTGTTCAAGAAAAATTGAAAAAACTAAACAAATAAAACAGATCAAATTGACATTAAAGAACCAACATTAGTTTGGGTTGATTTTAAATTTAAAACGATTGACAATTTCTGTTTTGGTTCAATATATGACGAAACCTTATTTGACAATATCGTTGGCATAAAGGTTTCGATTCAAGCGAGAGCCCAAATAGGAGATGGGAGAAGATCTTGATCGAAAGCTCCACTGTTTTGAATATTGAGGAAGAATGAAATTCAATCAAATCAATTTGAGAATATCATCGGTTGTTGCCTGTTAGATGGAACAATTGATCGACCAAACTAGGTTAGGCGATCACAGTTGCCAATCAAGTTAACGTCATTTGCTTTGAATTGAGTTATAATTGAGACTAATATCGTATATAATTCAATCATGTGAAATGTAATCGTCATTTAAATTAGTAATAATTATATTTTTCAAATCAATGTTATCTAATAAAAAAATAGTTTTCTAATGATGAAGAGGGCCAACTTGACTTAGCTTAGCTCGATACTGTAGAAAAATCAATTGAGCTCTGCTCGGACTTAGACTCGACACGCATAAAAGGAACCGTGATGTTTGTTTGTGCTCATACCCATAAAAAGGAAGAATAATAAAAGCTTCAAAAGCATTCGATAAAAGCAAGACTGTCAAAAGGAAAGACACATATTTTTCAAAAAGAAATAACGTGATTAAAATTTGAGGCCTTTCACAACAATCTCTCACTACCAACAATAACATTTGTAAAAAATAATTTAACTAATATCCACTGCCAATGAAAGTCTATTTTACACCGTTAGAATCTTTCAAAGCTTGCAACAAGTAAAAGTTTTAAATTATTTTTGACTTATAATATTTACATAATATTATAAAAGCAACTTAAACTATAATAGGAAGGCTCTCATGTTCTTGATTTCATCCTCAATTTAAGGATATCTTTATTTAGTAGGCGTTTGACTATGCGATATCATATCACGATATGAAATCGTGAGATGAAGTCAGTGTTTGGATATGTGATTTCACGCTGATTCCATATCATGAGATGAAATACCATATTCTCCAAAAATCATGATATGAGAATTTCATATCATGATTTGAGATATTACTATATTATAGAAGAGTCTAGGAATGACTACCAATGGTCCAATAAGATCACTACTAATGTCCAATATATTTATAAAATATATAAGTGGGCCCCACCACCTTCCACTTAAATACTACATATTATATATTATTAATTACTATACTATAAATCACAACTAATATCCAACATATTTATCAAACTATATAAGTGGGCCCAACCACCTTCCACTTAAATACTACATATTATATATTAATTACTATACTATAAATGACTTAAATACTCCATATTATCTATTAAAATAATTAACAATTATTTGACACTTTAAATTCTATCAATGCCATATAAATTAGGATAAAAAACCTAACATATAATATTTAAATATATTTAAAAATAATATAAGTAATACTATACATTACAATAATTAACAGCTTAATTATTTAAAACTTATATAAAAAATTTAATTGACTCTCTAAATTCTATTGGTACCACATAAAATGGATTATATAATAAACATATATTGTTTGAAATTGACGAAAAAGAAACAATAAATTACAATAGTTAATAAAAAAAAATAGTCCACTCCAAAAAATCTATCAATTAACAACATATATTGTTTGAAATTGATGAAAAAGAAATTATAAATTACAATAATTAACAAAATAAATCTCTCGACTCCAACAAATCTATCAATTAATGCCACATAAATTGGGACATGGCAAATAACATATATTATTAAAAAATTAGGTTCAAAATGTACTAAAAAATACAATAATTAACAACTTAATATATTAAAGAGACATATAAAAAATGGGTTAATATTTGAAATTCTGCATCTGCCACATAAATTAGAATAAATAGAGTAATAAATATTATTTTCAAAATTATGTTTAAAAAAAAGTACAACAAATCACAATAGCTAACAATTTAAAATATTTTTAAAATCATATAAAAATTTCAATAACTTCTCAAATTCCATAATATGACATAAATTAAAAAAAAAAGTGTTATAAATCATAATGAATAGTACAATATTTAAACTACTTTAAAAGTATTATAAATTGTAATAAATAATACAACAATTTAAATTACTTAAAATTTAACGACTTAAAAATATTTTTTAAATGTATTAAAATTTTGGTTATTTGTCAAAACTCTACATGTGCCACATAAATTGGGACATGGAGAGTCACACATATTTTTTTTTAAATTACATTAAAAGTATTCTATCAATTAACAACATATATTGTTTGAAATTGACGGAAAAAAAACCTATAAATTACAATAATTAACAAAATAAATCTCTTGACTCCAACAAATCTATCAATTAATGCCACATAAATTGGGACATGGCAAATAACATATATTATTAAAAAATTAGGTTCAAAATGTACTATAAAATACAATAATTAACAACTTAATATATTAAAGAGACATATAAAAAATGGTTAATATTTGAAATTCTGCGTGTGCCACATAAATTAGAACAAACAGAGTAATAAATATTATTTTCAAAATTATGTTAAAAAAAAGTATTACAAATCACAATAGCTAAAAATTTAAAATATTTTTAAAATCATATAAAAATTTCAATAACTTCTCAAATTCCATAATATGACATAAATTAAAATAAAAAAATAATATATATTGGGCCCCGTGCTGGCACGGGGTCCTATATCTAGTTTAAATACAAAAGTTGACCCACAAACTTATATTTCTTTAAAACAATCCCACATTATATCTACTAAACATTTATTTCATACTATGTAACTAAAAATTAATAATCACATCATTACTTTTTAAAATTTATTATTCTCACCAACATAAAATTTATTTTTGCTTTCAATTTGGTGAATATAAATGATAAAGTAAGAATTGATTTGGTGCATATAAATACAAACAGATGGAGTAATACTTTTTTGGTTTTTCATAATAAAAAAACTTCTCTTTTGACTAGGTATGAAAATGTTTAAAGCAATTTAATATGAAAAAAGACAAAATTAGTGATGTGTGTTTGATAATCACTACTTCCAATATGTTTGATTTTAACACGAAATTAATGTACTTAAAATGTGCAATTGCACACAAGTGAAACAAGGCATGAACCATATGATATTGACATACAAGTGAAAATTGTCATAACTTGTACAGTGTTACATAATTATTTGTGATAATATCAAAGGAGTGATGAAATATTTCTGGTATATGAGCATGAAAATATAGTTGCGAATGATATTGACCAACAAATGGCTCAAAGTAACAATGTTGGTTCATCTTCTCGGTCATATGATAGAGAAATGCAAGTTCAACGTGAGAAGATTGTCCGTACTATGTGGGAGGATTACATTAAAGATTAGTACACTAAAATTTATGTTCAATTTTTTTTATTGAATTAAAGTTAGATGAAACAATTAATTAAGTGAAAAACAGAGAGTTTTGTAATAATTTATTATGCGATTTTATAAATTTTTGTTTATTTAATAATATTGAATAAACAATTGGGGCTATTTTGAATAGTTTTACAACTTATGAGATTCTTATGTTTATGAGAAAATATACAACCCAAAAATTTCATATCGCATGTCCAAACAAAACTTCATCTTTATCTCATGATTCCATATTATGATATCATATCGTGATTCCATATTGCATGGCCAAACGGGCAATAACTATCAACACCATTGAAGCAATCAAAAACAATATATCTTCAACATTATTCAACATGATAATTCTTTATTCATTTATCTTTTCCTATTTGAGATTTAGAGAAGTATACAATATATTAATTTAATTCAATCTATAAAGTGATATTCTTTTGTTGAATATAATTTTAATCAAAATTTGTAAGAAGATGTGATTGAATTCTATAATCGTATGAATTTTCTTACCTCAATGGTAGACCTCTTGAAGTTAATGCCACCATAAGATGGATCCATCACTAGAAATATATATGAAATAGCTTCTCCCAAAAAATATGTATATTATTTTTAAACTTGGAAAAATGACATACCATTCCTGTATTTTTTATGAATGAGTTTCTTGACATTTTAGTATGGATTTTGACTTTTTTTATAAGAGAAGACCAGAAGCCATTTATGAGGAGGAACAAAATTAAACAACAATCATATCATGGGAATGCTGATTTGCAGCACCAGATAATGTAATCTTGGTATTCCTTCCTACTATAGAATATGTACACATTACACCTCCAATATTAGCTTGAGGGAATAATCAAATAGAACAACAACAACAACATAACCAGTAGCTTTTTCTTGTTGTTACTTGTTATTTTCATATCAAGCAAGAGGACATAAGCTTCCAACTAATTTTCATGGGAGATGGCATTGGTGCTACAAACCGGAGGAGATCTGGTTTTGAGCTATAATCTGAGTGTTTTTTCGTTTTTCGACTGTGAAGCTCAATAAATTTGGCAATATTTGGGAGCACAAGCTCCCTACAATGCAGATGTAACAAAGGGACCTTAGACAAGACACTTCCTTTCTGAACATCCAATCCTTCCGGCCTCTTTAATCTGTAGGGTTTCCCTGTTGTCGGCTCAACATCTACTCTCGGCATCTGCTTCCATTTGCGATGGACAAACCAACCATACTTGTAGTCACCCACAATTGGAGTTCCAAGGGCTTCAGCACAATGAACTCGAAGCTGCAAAGTAACAGAAAACAGAGTAATTTTTCACCTATTCTCTTCCCTTGCCAACAACCAACAACCAGAAATAAAAATATGGCCTTCTCAGTTACAGTTGAGTTGGGCATCCAACACAGAATAGGCACACACAAAATCTCCAGTAGTAAAGCAGCATCTTCCTCACACTTAATGCTGTTGTTTGTATTGGCCATCCTCACTAGTTGAGATGCTTATAATAGTGGAAAAAACTACATGCTAGACATATTACTCATCATAATTCATTAATACTTGCTTTATGGAAGCATCTTCATCAGTTCCTCTTGCTCTCATTTTGGGTTCATCAAGCAAGTTTTTCTACTTGGACCTACTAATGCTCCTAACTTAGGGACTACATTCAGAAAAAAACTTTATGCATCTCTCTACAACTTACATAACCACAAGTTAGAAGAACCACTGGTTTCATAGGGATCGCAACTTAAATACCGATATGCATCTCTCCACAATTTAAAAGCTGAACTGTTTTTTACAGGGATCATAAAAGGAAAAGGTTGAAGGAACCTGATGTTTTCTACTTGTATGAGGGCGCAACTCAATCCATGAGCATCCATTGATCATTGGACCAAGCAGCCTATATTCAGTAACAGCCTCATCAGAAGCTTCTAAACCCGACGGTTGAGCCAACATGACTCTCTCAGTTCTACCATCATCAAGTAGCACCTGCAATCAATGAACAAGCACAACGAACACTCAATGTACTTGACCAAAGCCTGCAAATGTAAGCAAGGAAAATGGAAAACCTTTGTAAGTGGTGCAGAGATCACGCCTTCCTTCTCCTTGGGGGAACCTATTACCAACGCCCAATACCTCTGATATGTTGACCCACATGCATCATTCCATGCCTGAATGACAGTCAGAGCTTTATGCATCACAAAAACTTCTAACTCAACCAGTGAAGTCAAAACAGGTATTCTCACCCACAACAAAGTACCAACCCTCTCTCCCTTGAAGAGGGAACGAAAAAAAAGCCAAACAAAAAATGAAGATGGTGCATAGGTTGTAGCCTAAGTACCTTAGACAGGGACTTGGACTTTTTTGTGTTGCTGAACAATAAATGAAGATGGGAGATACTTTCTTCTGTTCTTCCCATTAAATGAAGGCCACTGCTCTCTCTATCAAGACGATGTACCTTGACAATATATGCAGTAATCACCAAAGCTGAACATAGTTCCAAATTAACATCAACAGCTTAAATATCCAACCCCCACAATTGCTTCTTCACGAGCAAAGTAACTCCTATTTTTTGACTAAACGCACCAGGATATATTCAGAAAAATTAAAAGTAAAGAGATCTTCAACGTTTAATTAATAGCATATTCGCTATGCTTAGCTTACCAGCCTAGGACCCTCGTCATATTCATAAGACAATGCTGCGGCTGCCAAGGCATCCATGCTATTATGCACGGGAAGGTTTCCCTGTAATCAGTCTAATAATCAGAAATGAAAAAAGGCTGAAGAATGTGGTAGTCAAGATCATGCAATAAAGAACACTTAGAAACAAACCTTTAGAGGCAGCTTAGGGGGCTTGTTTAGAACAAGTATGGCGGGATCCTACAATTTGAACAATTAATAAGATACAGGAAACACGAATAACCTTTGGTGCATAGTTCCACCAAACGAACTTAAGAAGCAGAAAAAGTAACCACAGTAGCTGTGTAATCTTTTACCACCAGAAATAGTAGAAATCAAATGTAAAACTTGCAGAGAAGAATCAAATAAACAAACATATACCTTGTAAAATACAAGCCTTTGCAAGTATGCTATTTCATCAGCATTAGGATACAACGTGCCACTAGGTATAACATCATATCGTTTTGAGATTCTTGTTTCAGCAACAGATATGGGTACATGAATTCTTGCACCAACTTCCATGACCTCGGAATGCTTTATCTGTAAATTCACTGTGAAATTGTAAGATAGGGGAATCCATTGGGAGTGTAGGCTTGTAGCACAGGGTCCAAAAACAAATTGAAGAAGCCCCTTGGCTTTTGATGTTTGTATACTTTTAACATCAAAATGAAGTTTATACTGCTAGACTCATACAAGTATCAATACCTTCCTCAACAATCTTGTTTGCCTTTCCTTGCTTGTAAATAACTCATTAAACTCTAACTGCACCTGTAAATAAAGAAAAATAAGATAACTGTTGCTATGTTCATATTCATTACAACAAACTAAAGACAGTATAGCCATTAGACCCTTCAAAAGGGTAAGATAAAGGTTATATTTTAAACGTAGGAGAAGAGGACCAAAACAAATGCACACGTAACAGATTTACTCTACCTTATGAAATAAAATATCTATTCTTGATGTTGTGGTGATAAAATGATATAGTAAAATCAGACCAGATAAGTTAGACACTACTTCTGAACTAGCCATCAGCACATATAAAGACTAAGAACAAGAAAACTGCAAGTTAACATACTATAGGATGATGAATAATATGTCATTGATCAATGTTCAAATGAAATTGTCATTAGTTATCCAAAAACTGACCCTTGTGACTTGCATGTTTAAGTCTCTACATATTGTCACAAGCACTATGCTAACATTAAACATGTAGCAATTTTTTTAGTAGCAGTAATAACAATGGTGTCCAGGCTAGTTTGCACGCACCTCGACTATTTTATAAGCTACCTGCTAGGCTGCTACCTCCCACCAGCACAAGTACCGGTAACTCTGTCCCAACAAGACCTGTGATTTCTAGGTGATTTCTTTCCATCTAGTGATTAAATCACCTAGTGGTTTATCTCTGTTGGGATTTGAACCCTTACTAGTTGTACCAGGAATCCCTAGGAGAGGAATGTAATTTAATAAACACAGAAAACAGAACTACCATGCATTGCTAGGTGGAGATTTTATATAAGAAACATCACAATAACTCACATAGGGGAAGGAATAGATATAAGAATACTTACGAGGCCCTTATTAAAATGGGTTTGGATGACCGAGCCTGGTATCTCATCAAAGTAGTATTTGATCCAGCTAATGGCAGTAACATGACAAGATGGTTGGTCAGGACCGGTGGCCACTTTCTTTCCCGGCAAAGGATGACCAGGAAATGGGGGTAAAGACAATAGCTGGCTAGGTTTTGCACCCTCCTTTTGACGGCCCAAATGTGTAATATTGTTTGACACTCGAATCACAGGTTCACAATGATTTGCTTGTGCAGAATGGCCCACAGATCTAGAGAAGCGCCTGACCAGAAATAGTAAGCAACGACTCTCATCCTTGTTCCACCTCATCACATCCTAGACCTTAGCATCTGGATTATAAGAACATTGAGTTAATCCCAGACAAGAAGAAGTAGAACAACCGCATGAAAACCAAAGGGATGGGACAAACAGAAACGAGACACACAATTATCATGATTAAAATACTGAGCAGGACAGCCAACTCAATACATAGTAAAGTTGGGGGTAGCACCAAGTATTTAGAAACAATTATACAACAATGCCATAAATCTCAGAACACTTTCGTGGGAACCAATATGCTTTTTCCACCTTGCAACTCCATGCCTTAATAGTTTTCCTGGTAGCAACAGGTCATAGCTATAGAGTGTCCCAATTTTCTCTCCGTACTCAACAAGCCAAACGGACAGCAGAACGAACAGCAACTATCTTATACCCAAGAAAAATGTCAAATACTATATTTGCTACATTCTCTAGTTAATTCACTCCCCCACGAGCTCCTTTCCCCCTCCACCAAAACAAAACTAAAAAATGTTATAGCATATTCATGCTCCTGTAGAAATTGAAGAAAGATTATGGCACTGAAAAAATATATTTGCTCTACTACTCATGATAGAAGTTTAAGCACTAAATCCCTTCCTTCGGTGGTTATTTTGCATCTGCAACTGTGCAGAACCATTAACCACAACCTTGATACCTATGCATCTCTTGACTATTTATATGAACTTGGCAGTGGTTTGCTTGAGAATGATCCATATTAATCCATATACTAAACTAAAATACATGAAATGGTAAATTCACTAACTTTTTGGGTAGTAATACAACAGTGAGAACACATATGATTTATCCACATCTACACAAAGAAATGGAAATAATCAATTGAGATTTGTCCTCCATGAAAATATGAGAAGTTCACCTTCTGGGTTGTGCTTCTATAAATGTAAAGTTTCTAACTTCTTTTTATATGAGGAATTGATGGTGGTGTTAGGATCAACTTGCACACACCTCGACTATTTCATCAAGTATTATTATTTCCCGCCAGCATAGTAAATAACAAAAAACATTCTAACTTTATTGAGTATTAATTCAACATTGTATAATTCTTTTGTATCTATATTATACCAAAAATTCTTTGACATGAATACTGCCATCGAGGATGTGTACAAGAAGGCCTTTGGTTAAAAGTGGTGACTAAAATTGTAATTCAAAAGGTTTCAGTAAATACATGCTTAGCATAACAAACCCATACCTTCTCAATATCTTCACAATCAAAAAGATCCTGTCTTCTTTCTAGGTAAAAGCCAAAAGATAATGCTTTAGTCTAAAGTGTTTAACTTTCAAGAAATACAATAATCCATCTCACCAAAACAAAAAGAAAATTTAACTCTCGAGTACAAGGAATTTGGAGACCGAGGAAAAACTTAATAGTAGCAACAACTGCAAACAAAAATCAAGCAGAAAAAGGCCAACATTAAAGTTGTACATCTCGTAAAATTAAACAAATGAAATGCCTACAGGCTTAAAGTGATAACATAAGCCTATCAGCATCATCATTACTCTGTCTTTCAGAACCCTCCGTCTTCCCCTAAATTTCTTATTTGGTTTCGAATTCTAATATTGAACTTGTGGCGATATTCAAATCCATAAGCAAAATTAAGTGGTAAGGCTTTCTTAACGTAGTCCAGAAATAACTGTACTTTCTTTTCGGCAATTTCACAAACACCTTTTATGCAAGTATTGATGTTGTAACTAAATATAACAAACTCCTAATAAATTGTTACTTACCTTGAAAGAGTTGAAACAGATGAAATTTAAGATTAATCATATCTTGAAGGAGCTGAAACCGATGACATTTAAGATTAAACCATGAAAAAAAAAGCAAAAAAGGAAACATGCAATACAGTAGCCTAAAATTTTACACAAAAAAAGCTAAATATTTCATGGAAAATTCAAAACATCTCGAATTAGAAATTAACACAAACTAACATAAAAAGGCCAAATAAAAAAAAAGGAGAAACTTACCTGTAAACTGGGCAAGAAAGAGCAGTATAGTTTATGGAGAAAAAGAGTATTCTTTTAACCCTTAGTGGCCCAGTAATTTGGGTTTGGAACTTTAATGTTAGAGTTCGAAACCCCTTGTCAGCGAAAGCAAGGGCTTGCCTTTTGGATCAAGCTCGTCGTACCAGATTTGCCTAGTACAGACTACTTCTCCTATGTAATTTGCAAGCTATTGTATGGGAGCGGAGAGTTTTACCCGGTGCGCACCCAAAGAATAGCAGCTGCGGATTTTCCTTGTTACGAACCAAAAAAAAAAAAGAAAAAAAAGAGAGTACTCTTTTAAGACTGATTTGTGAAGGAGTAGCAATGTGAAATAAGTAGCAGAAGTGAGGGCCATTAAATAAATTAAAGGGAAAAGGGTAAAAGTGATTCATATATATTTTTACATTTATACAAATAACTCGCATATACTCTTTCTTATTGTTATAAAATGAGTTCACATATATTCAAGTGAAAAAATTAGTTTTAAATTTATTTTTTTGACTTTAAATTTAAAAAAAATTAATGTAGGAGTATATATATATATATATATATATAAAAATATATATATATATGATCCTTCTAGCAAAATTCAAGATATATTTTAATCTTCTCATACAAAAATTATTTTTGACTACTTTCATTATTTCATCAATTATATAGGCATTCATCTATGTGTAATGTGATTGAACGGACTTTTGGAGATTGGAAAAATAGGTTTAGAATACTGAAACAAGGCATGAACCATTATGATATTGATACACAAGTGAAAATTGTCATAGTTTGTGCATTGTTACATAATTATTTGCGAGAATACCACAGGACGGATGAAATATTTATGGTCTATGAGCATGAAAATATAGTTGCGGATGATATTGACCAACAAATGGCTCAAAGTAACAATGTTGGTTCATCTTCTCGGTCACATGATCGAGAAATGCAAGTTCAAGGTGAGGAAATTGTCCGTACTATGTGAGATGATTATATTAAAGACTAGTACACTACAATTTATGTTCAACTTTTTTTATTGAATTAAAGTTTGATGAATTAAAGTTAGATGAAACAGTTACTTATGGAGAACAAATAGTTTTGTAATAATTTATTATCTAATTTTATAAATTTTTGTTTATTTGGTAAGATTGAATAAACAATTGGAGTTATTTTAATAGTTTTACAAATTATGGATTCTTGTGTTTATGAGAAAATATACAACACAAAAATTTCATATATCATGTCCAAACAAAACTTCAATTTCATTTCATAATTACATATTATGATATCATATCATGATTCCATATCATGATTCCATATCATGATACCATATTATATGGTCGAATGTGCCCTTAGTAAAGTAAAGTAAAGAGGAAATATATCATTACCCCATTCAACTATAACACTTTTTTTAAAAAAGACATTTGAACTTTGAAAGGGTCCCAATACCCCCTTATTCTTTTTCAGAGTGGATTAATTATCCCCTAATAATCCTACGTGGCACACAAAGTGTATTTCACTCACCACTAGCGAGTGAGATAAACAAAAAAATATTAATTTATTTATTTTAGCATTTATTTAATTAGAAATATGATTTTCTTTTTACTCTATTTGTTTTACTGTAGTTTTGATAAAAAAAAAAGTTTTATTGTATTTTTGCAATTGGGACCTATCGGCAGTCCGACGAACAAGCTGCAATGCTTGCACTGAAAAATAAATTAGCGGCCATAGGAATTTCCACTCCAAAACTTCAAAGAAAATTGATGAGATTGTTGAAAGAGTAAGAGATGAAAGCGAAGTGAGGTGGTGGAGGAAGATCGGAAAGAAGCGCGACGGCGACGACGAACGACGGAGAGGGAATCACCAGGGGTCATGTTCAAACGAAGTAGAAAATACCCCATCTGAATTAGAGAGAGGCTTTCGATTTTTGCAGATACAACACATCTTGATTTCGAGCAAAAATTACACAAAAAGAAGATTAACCATGGGAGAAAATAGAAGAAATTTTGCTCGTATACATTTGCTTAGCCATTGTTGAGACGTGTTATTGGTGTTATAGCAGTGGCGGCTTTGCGAGAGAATTGCCGCCGCCGGGTAAAGAACGACTATTGCTGTTGAATTTTTTTTGAAGCAGAAAAGATAATTTTTTTTTTTATTTTAAAAATGAATAAGAAATAACATATTTGAAAATAAAATTTTAAAATTAACCTAATTGACACGTGGTAAGTATTAATTGATGCGTGTATACACTTCCCTTGTTATACTTGGGATTGACCGAAAAATGGGATACTTTTACCACTTTTAACAAACAAGGGCTTCCTATACTGTACTAAACAGAATCAGTGGACATAGAGCATGTCCCCCTCCTGACGTTCGTGCTCCCGTCTTTCCCACAGCCATCTTCGGTGGATGCGCGCCCCTTCACTTAAAGGCGGCCAAATCAACCCACTGAGCCAACCTTTTAGATTGAATAAAGTTACTAAGCTAGTCACCTCACCTCTCTTTCTTACCCACCCTTATTAGTAGTAGGCCCGTTGTTTCCTTTTCCTTCCGCACCTTTTCCTCGAAATGAGAAAGAAGATGGTACACTTGAATTGTATTATTTAAGTGCTTATTGCTTGCCAAAAATCCTACTTCTACAATTGGTAGGTCACCGGGTTATTCAAATAAGTCGTTTTATTTAAGGTGTTACTAGGGCCTTTGTAAAGTTTGAGTGTTTTTTTTTAAAGAAATATTATATTGTAGTTGAAGGGGTCATGATGTATTTTCTAAGTAAAAAGTATTCATTTTCTTGTTTGTGATTGGGCACCCGACCCGACACTCTAGTGTCAAAAGTGTAATTTACACCTTCTTTCTCCTCAACAAAGCGCATTAGGTTTCAGACCAAGGAGCTTGATTGCGTTGGACATGGAGGCACCGGCAGAGATGGCGACTGGCAAAGGAGGCAATGAATCAACGAAGAAAACCGTAAGGATATATGTTGGTGGTTTAGGCGAAAGTGTGACGGCTGAGGATTTGACGAAGACATTCTCAACACCACAACTCGGAAAAGTGGAATCTATGGACATCGTTCGAACCAAAGGCCGCAGCTTTGCTTACTTGGATTTACTTCCTTCTTCCGACAAATCTCTACCCAAACTTTTCAGCACGGTATAAAGCTTTCCGTATCTCACTTTGACTGTGCGTGCGCACTATGCTAAATTGTCTGTTTTCATTACATAGATATAAGAATTGGTGCAAATAGCGTGGCATTTCTAGTCTTGGATAAAAGATGAATACATATAGAATGGTAGCCGGTACCTTAGTTGGATAAGGAGGTTAAGAACCTGGATAAAGACTCCTAACTTATTTTGTCATGCATGGAAGTTAAGGTGAAAGAATTCCCTAGGCATTTTAGAGGTCTGGAGTGTAGGAATGCTAGTATATTTTAGAGCTTTTGTGAAGCAAGCAGCCCAACTCTTGTCAGTGAGTGCAGTGTCTCATTGGGTGTTCATTACATTTACACCCCTCCCTTGGGTGCTGCAAGACATTACTGTATATTGTTTATCTGTGGTGGTCATCTGTTCGGCCTTGTAACCATTAGTATCACATAATATCATAGTGTCTCTTTGTTATTAGGATAACTTAATCAATTTGCAGGAAGTGAACAAAGTCTTTCCTTTTAAAATCTACTCCTAAGGTATCACCTCGATGCTTAGTGGTGCTAATCCAATTTGATCTGCAGTATAATGGATGCATGTGGAAAGGTGGGAGGCTTAGAATAGAGAAGGCAAAGGAACACTTTTTTCTTCGTTTGAAACATGAGTGGGAAGAAGATGCTACACTTGCCACTACTTTGACCCATCTTCCTGTTACTGAAGCTGAAAGGACGGACTCCCTGAAAATTCAGAAGAAAGGCTCCAAATTGGATGAAGCTCAGATTCGGATTTACTTCCCAAAGTTAGGAAAGGTAAAGCATTCTTTCCCTGTGCTTGGTTATGATGTGCTTCCCTTGATACAATTATTCTTGGATGACGTATGGCGGGAAAGGTGACTGCATGGTTTACATTTGAATGCTATCTCATTTAGTAAGGCCTATGTTTTTTATTAAGTCAAGAATCATGCTTCTGGAATCTCTTTGTGCAGATAAAACCAGTGTCTCTTAGAGGAACTGGCAAGCATAAATACAGTTTTCAGCGAGTGGAAGTTCCTTCTTTACCTATCCATTTTTGTGATTGTGAAGAGCACTCTGGTACTACTTATACAGACAAGCAAAAATCACTTTGTAATTATGACTCAAAGGATGGTGGAATGGATGAGAAAGAGCTGAACATTATGAATTCAGTGTTGAACAGAATTTTTGAGAGGGAGAGCTACTCTGAGAAAACCCCTAGGGGTTTTAAATTATCTAAGGAAGTTCAAAGCTCAAATGGTACAGTTGATCATTTGCAGAAGGACAAGAATCTAGTCAACCAAGAAATGGGAGATGATGATAACCTCATTCTCAATGTGGTGGCTGGTGCAAATGATAGAATGACTATGGTTAAAGATCCAATCCAGGAAGCAATGACAGCTATTCAGGCTAATGAAGATTTTGTTGACCAAGAAATGGATGATGATGATGACAACCTTATTATCAATGTAGTGACCGGTGCAAAGGATAGAAACACTATGTTCAAAGATCCAACCCTGGAAGCAATTGCAGCTATTCAGGTTCATATTCTGTTATATTCTATTTTTTATTTTGCCTGCTCATGGTATAAGCATCTTAGTTTTCTTTTTCCTTTTTGTGTGTGTCGTGCGAACAGAATTCGCTATCCAAGGAATCACGACTTGCTACAGATAAACAAAAGCAAGGAAAGACGATGCCCTCAAACAGAAAGCGTAAAGCACCTTCAGAGGTTAAAGATGGTGAGGCACATACTTTGCTGTCTAAAGCTGAAGCAAAGCAGAGTTTGGAAGTCACACGAGATAGCCAACTATTAAATAGAAGTGCCAAATTGCCAAAGAAGTCTCCATGGAAAGATCTCGTTAGTGGTAGTGATGGTGCTACATTCAGTGTATTGGATATTTTGCCGAGTGCTATTCCTGGTAAAGAGATTCAGTCTGGCTCTGATGGTGTTAGTGAGTTCTCCTCTGACGAAAAAGATGAAGTAACAAATGATGAGAAAGTATCAGATCACCTTGAAGAGCTGGATAAAGTTGAATCTGAAGATGAAGTATCAAACGATGAGGAAGTATCAGATCAGCACGAAGAGCTGGATAAAGTTGAATTTGAAGATGAAGTATCAAATGATGAGAAAGTATTAGATCAGCATGAAGAGCTGGATAAAGTTGAATCTGAAGATGAAGTATCAAATGATGAGAAAGTATCAGATCAGCATGAAGAGCTGGATAAAGTTGAATATGAAGAGAAATTATCAGATCAGCATGAGGAGCTGGATAAAATTGCCACTGACAATTTAGATGCCCCTGTAGATATTTATGTCAGAGGTGCTGCATGGCGACAAAAATCTTCATGGACAGAATTGGTTCGTGATACCACCAGAAGTTCTTTCAGCATTTCACAAATTTTGCCTGGTCTAAGTCTTCCAAAACCAGAGTTGCCAGTGATGGGAGAGACCGGAAAAGCACAAAAATCTAACAGCACGGATAAAAGTGATTCCCAAGATGTTTCTGTAGAGGAGCAGAATAATGTTCATTTCAGTAAAGAGCTTCCAGTGCTGGACGACTATCAGCAGAAAGAAACAATGAAGAATGAAGCCAGTGCTCCAACTCCCGAAAAGGAACACGTATCTGCATCAAAACAAGCACTTGTAGTAGATACCAACTACAACGACACTTGTTCTTTCATGAAGAGTGCTGCTTCAATGAAGGAGTGGACGAAAACAAAAGCAGCACTAAGTGGGTCATTCAAGAAGAAGACTAATGAGAAAAAATAGTGGATACTTCAGAATAGCTTCATGTAAGATATGACGGCTTCAAGTTACATGGATGATGCAATTCCCTTTTCATTTAGGTGCATAATTCTTATTTCAGAATCAGTTGTGCCATTCTTGAATCTGTAGTTTTCCATTTGAAGTTTATACATGGACATCCTTATGTTTGTAGCCCTGTGTTGTAAGGTGGTAGGCTTACTTGCAAAGTTGTAACTGAACATGCTTTGAATTTGAAAACCAGAAATTGGTATTGTTATACACAACCTTGACTGTCCACAACCAAAACAAATGCATTTTTCTCTCAATTTTGTCTTTTCGTATCGCTACTTTTCTTGACATAATACATCATTTTATTTTTACTTCAGTTGACATTTATGTCCTCCAACTTTGGGTATGCACAATTAAATTTAACTTGTATAAAGTTGAATAGGTAGATATATGGGCCCTACATGACAATTCGTGTATGATACACTCCAACTGATTTGTATTATGCGAGGTAGGATGCATATTACGTAATGTAGGATGCGTGTGTTTACTGATTCAACTTTATACAAGTTTAACTTCTCCCATATTTGCTTGATCCTGGTGGGTTCTTCTTGCTTCTACTAACAAAGCCAATTTACCTACTGTTTGTTGGTGTTGAAACGTATGATTCGTAGCGCTAATTATTTTTTAAAGTTCTAAATCATAGTTTTAATATTTTTTTGATAACCAAATCATAATTTTTATATTTTATTATTATAATTTCTCAAGAATTTTAAAAATTCTCGTAATACAATATTTCATATGAAATGTTCTTAGAAGACAATCTTTTTGTGTTCTCAGCGTCAACGATGCGTTAAATTTGATTAAATATGGAATACAAGAATCAAATTACGCTTTAGTTATGAAAAAAAAAAGGAAAAAAGAAAATTAGACTACACAGAGTTTATCAAACGTATATTACTGTGTTTACCTAATAACTACTCCATTAAAGGAAATTTTTTATTTTTGTAATTTTAAATTAAAAATATATAAAATGTACAAAATTATTTTTTGATTTCGTAAATATATCACCTTCAAATAGCATGACATAATTTCCCGGCAAAAGTCATGTGACATGGAGCTACTTGTCCAATCACCTTGAAAACAATATTTGATCCACCATAAGTCATCAATTTCAAAATTTCTTTTCTACTATATTAGAAGAGTGGGTTAAAGCTAACATGTGTGCTTATGGGAATATGTTTAATTGATTATGGGCATTTTTGTCATTTCATTTGTTATCCTTTCTCCATTTCATTCCTTGCCTCTTTCACCGACCTTCATCATATTCCCCTCTTCTACTACATCAAAACAAAAATTGGGCAGTTTTCTTTCATCACAAGGATATTGCTGCAATCTTAAGGTACTATTAGTTTACCTACTGATCACTGAAGAACAGAAGAAAGTCTAGTATAGAAAAGAGAGAATCTTCATATCTGGAAGAGAAAAAATGTACAATACATGAACTGAAAGGAAATCAATGAATTAACTACAAGTTGTTCCTTATATACAATTTCTACACTAATCATCTACTGACAGCTGTACGTCTTCTAACTACTTAATTGAACTGACTAACAACTAACAGAATTTGTTACATAACTAACTTTTGGTAAACCACATTTAAGCTTAGCTAAGTCACAACTCCAGTTCCATCACTCCCCCTCAAGCTGGCAGGTACAAAAACATTCAAAATTCCCAGCTTGGATACTAAGTATTCATGTTGTGCTCTAAACAACCCTTTAGTCATAATGTCTGCTTGTTGCTCCTGTGTTATTAGGTATAATGGTTTGATCAGTCCCTTTTGAATCTTTTCTCTTATAAAATGACAATCTATCTTAATATATTTAGTCCTTTCATGATATACTGGATTTGCAGCTATCTGCAATGCTGCTTGGCTGTCACAAAACAGGTCAACTGGCATTTTCAGTTCTTCTCCCAACTCTTTGAATAATGCTGCAAGCCAAACCAGTTCTGATACAGTGGAGGCCATACTCCTGTACTCTGATTCTGCTGAACTTCTGGATATGGTTGCCTGCTTTTTTGATCTCCATGCTTTATCACAAAACCTGTCACAGATCTCCTTGTGTTTGGGCATGCTGCCCAATCTGCATCACAATATACTACCAGCTTGTTTTCTTTCTTGCTGCTCATCAGTATTCCCACAGTAGGTTCCCTTTTCACATATCTGACAACTTTAATAGCTGCTTCCATTTGAGACTTATTTGGATTTTGTAAAAACTGACTTAATGTTTGCACTGCAAAGCTGATATCTAGCCTTGTCATTGTTAAGTACAACAATCTCCCAATCAACCTCTGGTAGGATCCTATATCTGTTAAGGTGTGATCACCTGTCACTCCCCCTGCCTTGTCTACTTCTGCTATTGTTAGTTTCATATTAGGATCCAGTGGTGTCCAGGATGGTTTGGCACCAGTTAACCCCAATTCTTCTATTAGTTCTAGAGCATACTTCCTCTGATTCATTAGAATCCCTTTGGATAATCTGTTGAATTTAATTCCTAAGAAAAAACCTCAGTTGTCCAAGGTCTTTAATCTTGAACTTGACATGTAGTTATTCCTTGGTCTGTTCAATCAACCATAGATCATTACCAACTACTAACATATCATCGACATATGCCAACACAACTACAATATGTTCATTGTGCCTTTTGGTAAATAGAGAATGATCCAAGCTGCTCTGTATGAAACCAGAATGTACCAATGCATAAGTGAGCTTCACATTCCACTATCTACTGGCTTGTTTAAGGCTATACAAGGATTTGTCTAGCCTACATACCAGCCCTGACTTCTCCCCCTGGCTAGAAAATCCTTCAGGAAGGGTCATATACATTTCATCAAATAAGTCACCTTGCAAAAAAGCATTATAAACATCTAGTTGATGGATATGCCATCCAGAAGCTACAACAATGGACAATACACTTCGCACAGTAACAATCTTAACAACTGGAGAAAAAGTGTCCTGATAGTCCAGACCAGCCTTTTGGTTATATCCCTTTGCAACTAGTCTTGCCTTATACCTCTCGATATCCCCATTTTCCTTGAACTTCACCTTATACACCCATCGACAACCAATGGGAACCTTCCCATGAGGCAAAGCCACCAACTTCCAAGTATGATTATCCTCAAGAGCTTGTATCTCTTCCTGCATAGCCTTGATCCAGTTGGGATCTTTGCAAGCTTCATGATAAGATTGAGGCTCAGTAATGCAAGAAAAAGCTTTGATATAGGATTGATAAGGTTTCGATAAATGAGCATAACTCAGGTGTTGTGAAAGGGATAAAGAGTGGAGGCAGTAGCATTAACAACAAAGTCATTCATCCAGCTTGGATGCTTCTTTGGTCTAGTAGAATGCCTAACATCTCCAGATGATGGAATAGGATCTGTAGGTGCAGTCACTACAACAGGAATTTCATGGTTTATAGGCACTTGGGGTTCTTGAATTGGTTGATCAACAGGTGCAGGTAGAGCAACATCCTCATCAATACCTGGAAATATGTCTAAAAACATAGGATGAGATAAGGATTGTGTCTTGAAAGGAAAACTGTCCTCATTAAAAACCACATCCCTGAAAATAAAAAAACAATTATTTTCCAAGTTATACAAAACATAACCCTTCGATACTTCAGAATAACCCATGTGAACTGCAGGGTGTCTTTGCATAACACAAGCAACCCATAGTCCTGAAATGATCACATGTTCCTTTGCATCCATGAAACATTTCAAATAGTGTCTTTCCTTTCAAAGCTATTGAAGGAAGTCTATTCATCATATAGACAACACCTAAGACACAATGACCCCAGAATTTGAGTGGTATAAACCCTTGAAACCTGATAGCTCTTGCTAACTCCAGAATGTACCTATGCTTTCTCTCAACCATCCCATTCTGTTGTGGGGTGTAAACACATGACTTTTGATGTATAATACCATAAGACTTGAACAAATTATCACACTCAAAGTTGACAAATTCTGTTCCATTATCTGACCTCATTTTTTTACTGTCTTACCAAATTGAGTCGAAACAAGTTTGATAAAGTCTGTCAAAACAACTACAACATCACTTTTGAGTTTCAATAAGAAAATCCAAGTCATACGAGAGTAGTCATCCACAATTGTTAAGAAGATTTTATTTCCATCAAAAGTAGGTACATGAAATGGTCCCCATACATCCAAATGTAGTAAATCAAAAACTGTGACAAATCTAGTATTACTGTCAGGAAAAGGAAGTCTAGATTGTTTAGCTAATGAACAAATTTCACATGTATTGAGCACTTGTTTACATTCATCATGATTAAAATTGAATAACCGCTTCATAGCTCCAATAGATGCATGACCCAACCTTCTATGCCAAAGCAAAATGTTTGCCTTATTCTTAGTAGCCAACCGTCCTCTAACTGGATGTTCATTATTGTCTGTTGATCCTATATGATTCAACAAGTAAAGTCCATCATTCTCTTCACCAATCTCCAACACCTTCCCACTTGAGAGGTCCTGGAATACATAGAAATTTGGGAAAAAGCTGATTGAGCATTGTAACTCTTTAGTTAATCGTGAAACAGATAATAGATTGAATCTAAAATTTGGAATATAGAGGACATTTTTCAATGTTTTTCCATCTATGATCTCGCAACTACCTATGTGAGAAACATCTACTGTATCTCCATTTGGCAGATATACCTTCTTATCCTTAATAAGTATCCCCTTATTTGCAGTGTTTAACATCTCTTTATGAGAAATCATGTGATTGCTTGCTCCAGTATCAATTATCCACTCTTTCCTAAATGCATTCAAGCTAAGAACAGAGGCATTACCTACACTAGGAGTTCCACTAGAAACAACAGTCATATGAGAAGTAAAAAACTCACCTCCCATATTGGCTAAATCAGAGAGACAGCTCATGTTTGAACTTTCACCAACAATGTCTTTGTCTACTAACCTCCTGAATTGATTGTAATGATGTTGATTATCCATGTGTTGCATCATCTGATTATATTGACTGTAAGAGTAAGAAGAAGACATTGTTCCTTTGTTCCAATCATCAGAGTATCTTCCAGAATTCCACCCTTCACTGCGTGAATCAAATAATACTTTTACCCTGACCGGTTACATCTCTACAGTTGTGAACACAAGCAGATCTATTTTGTCCAGTCTCAGAATAAGCCCCATCATCAATCTTCCCAGCATGAGCTTGACTCTTTTGATCAC